AATTCTTGAAGAACAACCACAATTACATCCTTTTTCTAAAAAATCAATTGCTTTTTGATATTCATTAGAACCATTATATTTATTATCACTTTTCATATATACACTTATCCCTATATATATAATTTTATGTTCACTTTGTAGGTTTTACAGGAAATTGAAAATTAATCAGACAAACATAAGAGCATCATAAAAGTATGAAAATTCAACTTTTGAAAAGTAAATAGTTGAGGTTGTAAGGTTAATTAAATATCAAATGGTATTTTATTACAAGTGTGTATATTGATTGGTTTGATCAGTTTAAAGGTTATAATGAGAGAAAATTTCAGATGAATTAGAAAGAGAGTTGTTCTTCAACCAAGGTGAAAACCAAGTCTTTATATACATTTTCAAGCAGTATCATTTAATTTATTAGACTATTTTGAAGGTTGATGCATGATCACATGCTTTCTTAAGGTTTGTTCAGTTTAATTTTTTGAAGTTACAGTTTCACATAACAATATGCAACACAATAATAATTACAAAAATTCATGTAACGTAATCAGCCAATAACACAAAAGTCTTCCTTAGAGATGGGAAATGTGCATTTTTTTTCAAAAAAAATAAAAACAAGCATTTAAATATCATCATTTTCATCATAATTGCTGCTATTTTCTTCACTACCTTCTGTTATAGTACCATATTCTCTTTGTCATTATAACTACTATCACTTTTGTCATAATTCCCATCATTTTTATCATTGGAATCACTAATATCATTTCTATCACTATTGGTGGTTATATCACCTATGTTATTATTTTTTAATTTATAATTGAAATAAATATATACCAGTTTAAAAACATGTTCAGATGTCAACTTGTTTCTCTTTTATCATGAATATAGGAAAAGGTGGACTAATTGGATAAAATTTATTAATTTCTGTATGGGACATTGCATGATTTGGAAAAAAAATCATGTGCATGATGCAATGCACATCACTTTTTTTTTTATGTGCATGTCCTATCTCTAGTCTTCCTATAACCCATTCCTAATGTTAAGGCAATTACTAACAATCAAAACTCTTTTCAGGAATAACAAAGATTGCTAAAATTTGGTAATGGCTTTTTATAAATTAAAAAAAAAGTGGAATAAAGTCCAATTGTCTACTTTTCAGATGTAAAACATAAATGCTGTTTTTTATTTCATCAATGATAAAACCACATCAATAATCTTGAAGAAAAGCATGCATATATTGTGTTTAGATAACGGTCAGCTTTTGTACATAATTTCGTAATTCAATAATTATTGTAACTTGATCTAGTAATTACAATATAAAAAAAACTCTTGAAATTTTATAAAAGTACTTGAGAAATTACCAGCAGGAAGAAAACCTTACCTTTTTTGGTGAAGAAATAGTTGATCGAATCATGCTTTGTTTCTTTGTTGGTGTATGATAATTATCAGTTGGTGGCAAATAGGGTGGTATTCTTCTTATATACTCTTCAACAAATGACTGCAATCATTAATTAGTATTTATATTTACAATTCATTTTGGCATAATATTAAGGTAATAATATCTACCCTTAAATTTTCAATTTCATACAATGCATATTCAACTAAGGGGTAACTAATATTGGATCTCGGCAACTCAAATTCACCTAACATGTACATTCTGTAAAGACCATCATAAGTTAAATCCATACCATATATTCTTAGGTTATGACCTGCCAGTAAAATTTTTCAGAATCATTGAATAAACATGTCCATAAAAAAAGAAAGTTAATTTAAAAATACATACCAAAACAATGTATACCAAAAACTGCCATGTCAAGTTCAGTGACATATTTAGTGTATAATTTATTAAGGGAATCTTTCATCAAGATTCCCAAATCTACTAAATCTATATTCACCAAGTAGGTATTAGCCTTTATTGGAGACTTAAGGATACGGTCTAGCACGTGATCATTTATTAGTAAATCCGGTTCTAAAAAAATGCCGATCAATTTCCTTGAAAA